AAAAAAAAAAAAAAAGAAAAAAAAATATCCTTCTATATAACGTCGCAAGACGCTGCGAGAGATCCGCGGCAAGCGAAAGACGACGTGAAAAGCGTCCGCGTTCGACGTCTCCATTTGGCGGAGATTCTCCCGTGATATTTTGTTCCTCGGCAATTTGTCGGAGAGATAAAAAGTTGAAGTGCCAAGAGAAAGAAAGAGAGAGAGAGAGAGAGAGAGAGAGAGAGAGAGAAAATATTACGATGGGTGGGAAGAAAGGGTGGTTAGGTTAGGTTAGGGGAGCGGGCGGAAAATGAAAGGAAAGTGTTTAAACGCGATCACTGGGACACGCGCGTTGTTACGCGTTTGCGATATATTTTTCCTCCTCGTCTGTTTCTCTCGTTTTTCCTCTCCACTTTCCCTCTATCACTCACCAAGTACGAAGAGAGAGCGAGAGTTGAGCGGGGTTTGTGTGTGTTGTACGCGGTGCAATAAATTCTACTCGTAAATTATAATACAGTGGCGTAGGTCATGGACCGAGAGAACGATACGCACGCCACGTGCTTCCCCACGCGCGTTTGCTTGTATACATTCTGTCTCGCTCCGTTTCACAGCCCCTACCGCTCACGTCGACGATTACTGAATGTGTTCACGTATTTACTCTTTGGTATTATTATTATTATTACTTCTCCGTTGTGGAGTAATATGAGACACATGGATGCACAGGAGCGATTACCCACCGTCGATGAAACGATCTCTTTATATACGACGCAACAATTGCACACAATATCGCAAAATATATACATGTATATATATACCATAATACATATAATGACCAAGTTTTGACACAATTTACCTTAGAATTATCCCGATATATTATAAATATGTACACATATCTCTACGACGCAATGACGTACCTTTGTTGGTATATCCTCTGAGTTTATTTCCGTCTGTTTTTGCTTTGGTTAATAATCGCTGAGGGAGTAAGCGCGCGGAGAGATTTATCAAACTGTACAAATATCTCTGTAAGATCAATGTCTGACGGTATCCCGTTGATAACTCACCAGTCACTGATGTGAAGGAGAACGAGAAACAAGATCCCGGAGCCTGGTTCTAAACTCACTGTTGGTAACCTTGCGAACTGCGTGGCTAGTTTTCACCACAAATTATAAATTTCTGAGAGGGCGTTAGCTCACAAGAATCGTCGTGGCCATAGACATAAGTATATCTAGACCGAGCGTTTGCCTTTATTTAAGGAGTGGGGGCCGATGTGGCAATAGACTATAGACATATAGAATAGATGGACTCCTGCCATCTACTTTGGCCGTCTGAAGTTAGTTAGTCGGATGAGCCACAAGTCACAAGTAGATCATCCTCCGATCTAGAAAAAATAATAGGGATGAAGACGATAATATACATGTACATGAAAGGAGACATATATTCACATTACAATATATGTATAAATTACAATATATAGATTATAATAAATAGTATAGGTTCACAATGTATAGATTACAGTTGATGCTATCACGCTACCACTATCAAAAATAATTCGATGTAAATATTCAACGTTGCAAATAATTGGTAGATGTTTCAAAACATATTAATAAAAGTGCAATATTTCTATTACTTAAATTGATTAATGACAAAGATATTTCAATTCAAATAAACTCTAGAAATTTAAAAAATCCAAGAAATTATGTTCTAATATAAAATTTATTACCAGAATTATATATTAAATATTGATAGCACTTACATTTAAACTTATTATATATACATATTGTAACATTTAACATTATGTAAAATTTTTATAATAACATAATTAATATTATAATTTATAATATAAC